GTAATATCTGCGTCACTTATATTTGGTGAAAATAATGAAGTAGGTGAACTTGTAATTTCATCGTCATTATCATCATTATCCTTAACTTTTGGCCGTTTTGTTGGCAAAATTTCACTATCATTGTTTGTATAAAATTTATTGGAAGAATTCGGAGAAGAGGGTGTAAGCGGGGTATTATTATCTTCTTCAGAAGCATCCCCGGATGAACCAGAATTTGAAACTAATTTATTATTTAATTTATCATTATCATTATCATATCTCTTTCGTTTATTGTTATACATTTTCTATTAATTTATTTGTTTTATTTTGTTTTATTTGTTTTGAAAACTTGAAAACTTTTAAACTTTTAAATATATCAATAAAAAGTAAGTAATAAACGATAAAATATAAAAATTCTATAATTAATGCTCAAAATAACAAGATTTTGACACAGATATTCAAGAGCCAGTACCTGGACGCCGCGAATTTATAATTAAAAAATAAAACACGTGATAATGAACATCTAAAAAGGAAAAGCTTTAATTTTTTTTTTGCGGAGGAATGCGGACCCTAAATTTGAAACTGAAAGATCACAATTTGAATTAAAATGGAAAAATTATCATAAGATTTTAAAGATTTATTCACCCCCAAAAAACCGAATAAATCACAGATCTACGAGATAAGAAAAGTGTAGTTTTGTGTTTAGTGAAACTTTATACAATCTCTTCCATGTGACTACCCTTTAAAATCAATTATTAACTAAAATGTGTAAATAGAATTTTTTTTTTTGGGGTCGCTTACTGCCAAGTATGTAAACTTCCTTTACGTTATACAATATTATCAATTTATCAATATTATCAATGCGTACTATTATTTGAGGAAAAAAATATATATAAAATTGACCATCTTATTAATATTGACGTGTTCAATATTTCTTCGACGAAATCAAAATTTTGTATTACGGAGATCTTCAGAAATTTCACATGAATGTCTTATGATATCGTATTGTCCAATTAAAAGTATAAAATGATTTACTAAAGATTAATTTCTTTTATAAATATTGATATTCAAAGACATGGATAAATCAAAGTCTTTACTGCTATGTATTATATGTGCATTTTGTCTTATTATATTCCCTAGGT